TTTCATTGAAATCGTTCGATAACATCAAAAATAGCGTGGCGCCCCGGGATCCCGGGGCGGCGAACTGTGCGGTTCTCAATGGACGCGATCTGCAGCTCTATGGCCGCAACGTAATATCAAAATAGCTTAAGCGGCCAATAAGAGCTGCTAAACTGCAGCAAAGACTAAATGTGTGTGAACACTAACCTACATATTTAGGTCGGCCTGTTCAAATCGCGCCTAGGAACGGGTGTCAGGCTATAATTTTAACCCCTGAGTTAGGCTGGCTTAACTACAGTAAGAACAAGCTAGTGTCAGGTTATTGAATAAACGTTAAATTGCAAATTAGGTTTGTGACTTTTTTGCACACTCTCAAAACCTAATCACAGTCGATATGGCTGTGAGAGAGAGGTCAATTGCATTGCCTGGGTAACGCATTCATTGATTCAATTCTCAGTAGTACTTCCAAAGACAGCATTGCAACACTGTAACAATTTAAAAAAGGGTTTTGTCTCGGGTCTGCATTCAGGATATTTGGCTGGGGTTGGTGTGCTCATATGACGGCAGTTCCAGGATCGTTGACTTCACGCTGTGAGCTCAAATGGAGAGATCGATACACGTGATCGTTGATGCTTCACCCATACTCAATACAGATATACGCTTAGAGTCAGTGAGCAAACCCAGAGTTAGCGGGACCAGCGCAATACAAACGTGACCTTGATAATAGGATTATGTTCAAATAATAGAAGCTGACATTTTTGGACTAAAATTATGTAATTGAAACACAAAATATAAGTATTAGAGGGATTACAAAAGAGGCTATAGTTAATATGGGCCGATAATTTACTGGAGCCGTTGGTAAATTTATGTAATTGATTTTGCTGTGACAATGTATACATGTATGAACAATTATGTGAATATGGTGTTGTGTGTTATATGAAGTAGGTGATGTCTTAAGTCTTTTGGTTATGTCATTTGAATCAAGAGGGGGAGGTTAAAGTACTTGATCGGAAAGAATGATTATATTTGTTCTTTGGTAATGAATGGCTTATTTGTACTTGACTGTGACCCACCCACCACTCAATTGTAATTTGGCCAGCTGCTATTAGACATCGCTCAGCATGACTAGTTGGAAGACAACCATGTAAAAATAGTGTGAATAGAATAAACGTCTGTAATGAACAGGGAAAAAATAAAGTTTTTATTTTTTATCTTAACCATCAATATACAACAAGTTTACAAAAAAATTCGAGTAAGAATAAAGTAAAAAGTTGAACCAATAGGAGATACAGGTGATGGTTGAATTATCTCGCCTGGAAGAAAAT